CAGAAATCAATTTAAAAGGGTAATAAAATAATTGCTGATGTAACATTTTTCCCTATAATTATTAAAAAAACACAAACTAAGTAAAAATAAGTATCTATATGTGTATATAAGCTGTTTAGATTGTCAAAAAGCCTGTGTTTTTAGGGCTATTAACGAAATTCGTGTACTCAGACCAGTAATATTTGGGGTCACAAGATTTCGCCTTGGATATTTTGTGGGTCAGAAGACAAAAAGTTTGGGAACCACTGTTATAGGGCACACAGCAGCTCAAAATTCATTCTAAAAACTGATACATTTTACTTCCTCCTGTGTGACACTTCTGCATAATTTACCTATGAAGTTCCTCCTTGCAGAAGAATCCTGAGCCTGTCTGCAGCCTGTTGGCCAGGCCATCAGTACAGTGTTGTGCTTCATCCCTCCCAGCCCCGCAGCCTGGATCAGTATGGAGAAACCGTCTCGCAGGCTGGACGAGACCACCACATGGGAGAAACCTTTGGTCCGCTCTGCAGCCAAGGCTGCTTTCAAGTTCTAAAAGAAGAAGAACAAAGATGCAATAAGTTTGTAAAAAGTCCACTTATCTAGAACTTGGAACTTTTATGTTTGTTTTTAAACTGGTTCTGTGTTAAGCGGGAGGCAGCTCAGCCCTGTCCAACAATGACATCACCCTTCTATAGTTAAAGCTTTAACATAAAACAGAACAGGGTCAGAACAGTGAGACGTTCTTTGGATTTAATGACCCCCACGGTACAGCTGATGCAAGGACACAAGTCTCATTTGAAACGGTCAGTAAGATGCACATGCAGGCAGAGCAGACAGGAAGAGGACAAACCTGCTCTCCGGTTTTGGCATCCTCCTTRCGGTCCATGTAAGTGCCCTCCAGGACTGAAGAGACGATGGTCAGTCCCTTCCCTGCTTTGAGCTGGGAGCTGAAGGTCAGGAGACGAGGGTGCTTCACGTTCAGCTTTGAGTCCAGCTTACACAACACCAACAGCTGYGGTCTGAAGGGAAACAGACAAACATGTAAGCTGAATGTAAGTGCAAAAAAAAAAACTGCATGTGGTTTATTTCTTGTGCAGATGTCTGATTTTTTTATTTATTTTTCATTTGCACTGTGAAGTGTCACATGGATAATGCACACTCACCTCCAGTTTTTGGTGTGCAGTGGGACTTCCTCCAGGCGCACGAGAGCATAGCGAGCTGCATTTAAGGACAGACCTCTAATCCCGTCACCCCATTCTTTCTCTGCCCTGCATCAAAGAGCCCAGAAAAGGAAAAAAAAATGCTTCTGTTCCCAAATCCCAGAAACCAAATTTAACTCCAGACTTTTCAATCAGTACRTTGAAGTTTTGAGATCAAGTGTTTTTATTCAGTGGGTTAGTAATRAAAGAAAAGCAAAAATTGTACTATTTTCTGGAAATATTAAAAGACTGACTTAGTTTAAGTAAAAAAATAATAATAAAAATTACAGTAGGGCCATTCAACCGTAGGTCCAGTTACTTCTGTCCAGCCTGCTATTCAATTCAATTCAATTCAAAAATACTTTATTGATCCCAGAGGGAAATTAGGTGTAGTTGTAACTCATTTAACTAAAGAGTTATTGTAGATGCTGATGGCTGTGGGCAGGAAAGATCTTCTGTAGCGGTCTGTATTACAG